AAAAAAAAAAAAAAACAGTATTTGTCAAGAATAGAAGTGAACTGCTCTGTAAAGTGGGTGAAATGACAAATGAACACAGTACAGATAGGAAGTCCTCCCCAAGACAAAAAAGTGTCACAGACAGTTTTTCTGGTTCTTTGCTTGAGTTTGGAATGCTGACTTCTGGATTTAGTCTGTCTCAGTTTCTTCATGTCATTCCAGACAGACTGAGTGATGGTGCGATTAGATCTCTGTGTGGAGCACTGGCTGTTGTCAAACTCCTTGTGCAAACAAAAATCTCACTGGACTATTACAATTAATGGCAAAATGAATGTTTGGAAATGTAAACTGATATTTCTTACTGACACACTACAGTAAAAGATAGAAATAACTTCCTTAAAACCATTTTTAGCTGGTGAAAATACTAGTGTTCTAATAATTTTGGCCACCACTGTAAATATATATAGTAAGAAATTATTATAATACAGATTATGCCAAACTACTCTTTTGCTAGTTATTCTCAAAAATGTAAGCCTGTTTTACCACAAAAAAAAATTTATAACCCTCATGCCAGCTGTGATGTTTTGTGGCGAAAAGTTGCTTCTCAAATACTTCTTGAGAGTATTGTGCTCTAGAACAGTGACTTGAAGGTTGTTGCACCAGAGAGTTAGACTGAGCTTGTGTCCCTGCCCTTATTCTGCACATTGTCATCTAAGTCCTGTTCTAATAACCCATTACCCAAATATCATATTCCGAATCGGCTCACTTCCTGCAAGGTGCCTCTACATGATCCTGTCTTTTCTGTCTCCTTCAGTGTGCTGTCCGAGCTGCAACTGAGGGTCGGATTCTGGTGTTGGAGGGGCTGGAGAAGGCAGAGAGGAACGTGTTGCCAGTTCTCAATAACCTGCTGGAGAATCGAGAGATGCAGCTGGAAGATGGACGCTTTCTCATGTCAGCACAGCGCTACGACAAACTCCTGGAGGTGAGGACAACCATGCTGTATCTACAGCCCTCCCTGTGGTTACAGAAGCAGACTGACCAGTCAGAGATATGTCCTTAAACTCATGCTTTTTGGCCCTGTTTACACCTGCTATTAAGATGCATTTTGACCAATCGGATCACAAGTTGACGAGGTAGACACATTCCCGTTCAAACCTAATGTTTTGATTGCTCTCTTTTGTCCACTTTTCTTTTTTTGTCCATATTTGTATATATGGGCTTTTTCTGATCACTCCATCTAATGATCTAATGATCTAATGATCGAAAGTAGACAAGCTCAATTTGTTTCAGACTCCATTTACACCTGTATTTTAGCATTGTCCACTTGTAATTGGATCAACAAAAATGCATCTTAATACCATGTGTAAACAGGGCCTCAGATAGAGATATTGGTAACACTTTACAATAACTTAATAATATTTACATTGTTATTAATTATACCTACATAAACCACAAAATTAATAACACCTGCCAGTGGTGGCTCAGGTAAGAACATTTAAAAGTCACATATATTTAATTTTATTACATACATACATATAGTGTCATTTCTTCAGCGTTGTCACATGAAAAGATATAATAAAATATTTACAAAAATGTGAGGGGTGTACTCACTTCTGTGAGATTCTGTATATATACATTATTTTATCTAAAAATAAGTAACATTTATTTCCCAATCTGTACTGTTTGCTATGTTGGTTTTGATCTAATAGGAGCACACTAAAGATGAGCTGGATGCGTGGAAAATCGTTCGGGTGAGTGAGGATTTTCGAGTCATTGCTCTCGGCCTGCCTGTTCCCCGATACAAAGGAAACCCGCTGGATCCACCTCTCCGCTCCCGCTTCCAGGCCAGAGACATCTACTACCTTCCCTTCAAGGTGCTTTCAGACACAGAGAAGCATGTTATGAATATGAGATGTACTGATAAATGTTTAGTGTCACTAGTGTCCGGCCTCTAACGGTTTATGTTTCTTAAAAGGACCAGCTAGAGCATCTATACAGAATTGGACCAAATGTGCCTCCTGAAAGGTATAGTGGTTTTCAAACATGGATTTTCATCGGCCATATTGTGGACTGAAAGCAGAAACGATTTTCTCCCATCTTAGGGTGTCCCAGCTCTTGTCTTTGGCCACTACACTTTGTTCTCAAGAGTCTGCCAGCTTAAGTCTGCCTGATTTCCCTATGGACAATCTTCCATCTGCCCTCGCAGTTCTAGTGAGTAGCAGACTGCATGACGTATCCTACATAACGGTTCATGGTGAAGTGTGTAATTTCTGCATCACTTAACAGAAACAAATGTCATTTAACATTGAGAAATATTATAAGTGTGATTGTGCTGAAATTTAATTTACATTTGGAGAGGCATTTGATTTGTAGATATGTATTTATAGATATGGTTGAAGATGATTTGTATCTGTTGCAGAACCTGTTCCCCATGCTGTCAGCGCAGCAGCTGGTCCAGAGGCTTTACCCGTACGAGGTCATGCTGGGAAAGGAAGGCCGTACCGCCGTTGAAGGGGTGCTCAGTGTAAGTTTCTCCAATGATAGGGAGCTCACTCTTACGCAAAATAATAATGGGGTTGTGTAGCATAGTAGATAACCTGGGCTGGTAACTAGTGCTAGGCAATATAGCTGAAATAAATTGCCCAGCAGTAGTTATCAGTCCTACTAGTTAATTAAAAAATATATAATAATAATGATTTGTGCTGTCAAAGGATGAAAAAATAATGAATAAATCAAATTTTTTTATAATTAATCACCATTGTGTTTATATTTCCATACTTTCACATTGAATCTCCAAATTAATGTAGAAACAACATAAAGATGTTATATTTTAAATATGTGTTTAATGGCATCTTTTTACGAAGTAGCCTCTTTTTTTTTTAATGAAGACCAGTATCATTGATACCAATACCGGTACCCCCTGGTGCAGGGTTTCCGCGGGGTCTTAAAAAGTCTTAAATTTAGTTGTATCAAATTTAAGGCCTTAAAAAGTCTTAAATTGTACAAGAAAGTCTTATTTAGGATTTCAAGAGGTCTTAAATTTGGGGACGGAAAGACCAGAATTGCGATATGGCTGAATGTGACGATTAAACTTCAAAAGGCTATGATTTCATTAAATAAACACGAGCGCTGCATGTTCAGCGTCCGGTGCTGCGCTGCTTTGTGTTCAGCCATTACCGGGGAAACAGTTATATTTCTACCAAACGTTCCACCTGCTGGCAGAGAATGAATGAGCATTTTCAATAAAACTGTTGTTTTGTTCAGAGTTCAGACCAATGCGAAAATCGACCTATGTTTTTAAACAGGCAGAGCTTTGAATGTGATGAAAATAATATATGAAAAACAAAATTTTACATAACATTAGGCTATAGCTTATATTTATTTAGTACATTTTTTAATTAATGTAAAAACTAAAATGAATTGTAAAACTGAAAGTAATTTTTTTAAATTGTGTTCAGCATGGTGGGCCGCATTTGAATTCGTGACGTTCGCATGCAGCCTGCGGGCCGCGGGTTGAGAACCACTGGTTTAGAGGTATCGATATCGGCGATACTGGGCTTGAAAATATCGGTTCGAAAATAAAATAAGAGGTATCGCCCATCCCTACTACAGAGTGAACGCATACATTAGGTGATGAAGTCTAGTAGGTTAGACTAATGCGCGCGCATTTAGAGCACGTTCTTTCACTGCATGAATCAGTCTATTAAAATGCATTAAGAATTATCACATAATTTAAGATATGAGGCAGAAAATGTATATTTTTTAAATCATTTAATATAGTTAATATCACACGAAGAGTGCCGTTTTTTTTCTCCAGAAGTAAGCATGCAAATGTGATATGCATTAAGAATTATCACATAATTTAAGATATGAGGCAGAAAATGTATATTTTTTAAATCATTTAATATAGTTAATATCACACGAAGAGTGCCGTTTTTTTTCTCCAGAAGTAAGCATGATTACAAATGTGATATTGATTTTAAACTACAGTTCAATAAACAAGTAGTTAATATTAAAAGACTTACGTTTTAGCCACCATATTTCCTGTTTTTGCTCTATTTCTCTAACAAAAATCATCCCAAACAAAGCCACAGCGCTGTTTTGTGTCTCTGAGCAAAAGGACGCTGTTTTTTTCCTAAATGAATCAACTGTTTAAATGATTCGGTTCAAACGCAATGACGCACTTATTTTTTAAATCATTTCAAACATCAGTTTTCAATGTTTTATGTTTAAAATATCAAAACATTATTTATGCGTTTGTAACTGCAGGTTAAAGTATTTAATGTCCTTCAGTGCTGCATTAAACGGTGTGTAAATACATCTAAATGAGACTTCTAATGCAGCTTCTGTGCTTCCTCTGCATTGCAAAGATCAATTTTGTTGATACTGATTTAATTTGCTTGGTAACAGCCCAAATGCAAGAATTTGACTCAAAAGATGGTGCACACTTTTAGAAAAAATGGCTTAAAGGTAAAAATGCCCATAAAACGAGTTGGAAATTATTCATTTCTATTACTGCTTTGAACTGACCACACAGAATATGAAGAATATCAAAAAATTCAGGAGTCCGCTGTCCACGGTAGTCCTTAAGATATCAGCACAATAACACACTCGTCTATCGAGTGTTATCGTCTAATTAGCGTTATCGATAAAATCCCAGAAAATTATCGAGATATCATTTTTGTCAGTACACCCCTAATTTGTTATTTAATTGTTTATAATAATTGTTTAAATTAATATAATAATACTTTTGACTTAAAGGCTGAAATGTAAAGTTTATCATTTTATAAAACTTTGTTTTTGTGAAAACTTGTATCTGAACTGTAAATTATGCTTTTTACAGTAATTTTACAGTTTAATATGGTACTATAAACATTGCCCTACCCCACTTATATGGTATTAATTTTATTTGTGCAGGTCTTAAAAAAGGTCTTAAAGTCTTAAATTTGATCTTAAAAATCCTGCAGAAACCCTGTTAAGGGAACTTAACAATCTTAACATAAACTGTCAATTGTATATGCATAAACTATACATTGAATATAGATTCATCTTTATTCAAGCTACAAAAGTTAATCAGCATGAGTGATTTTTCCTTTTCTATTGTTCTTTGATTTACATCAGTGACACTGACCGCAGCAGGAAAAAATGAATGCTGCGTTAATTGCGTTAAATATTTTTAGCATGTTAAACTGGAAAAAATCACTCAGTTAACACGTTAATTTTGACAGCACTAAAAATAATAATAATAATAATAATAATAAACTAAGAGTTACTTGCATTTATAGATTTGCATATTTCCACCCACAGGATTTTACACCAGGTGCGATTTATAAAATAAAATAAAACAATAAAAATATAATTTATATAATAATATATTATACAATAATTAAATTTTTAAAAATATTATATTATTTATTATTGTATCTATCTGTCTTACAATCTATCTATTTATACCAACACACACACACATATAATAATAATAATAATAATAATAATAATAAAAAAACCTAGCACCTATAAAATAATCAAGGTGTTTTTTTCCATACTCTTTCACTAAATTAACACAAGAATGGTATTTAATCCTGTTCTTTTGTATGCACTGATATAACAATACATAGCAATAAACAGCTATATTTACCCATGTGTGAACATTTTTGAGAGATGAAGAATTTTCGCTTGATTATTTGAAACAAATAGCTTGATTGAAATGCATGAACTTATCAACGCTGACACCATTTTCCCCTTCTAAATTAGAGATGCTGTTACATTTGTAAATCGTGAGGCTAGAAAGATACTTGTCTTGTGAAAAGCTCAAAATCACACACATAATTTCCACTAATAGACACTCTGTTCTCAGAGGTTTGAGTTGACTGATGGGAGCACGAAACCTTCTCCGACTGCAGTGCTGAGCGTTGAGTCTGTGAATGGAGATCACGCAGGACAGGCAGCTGTCACCCTCAACATAGCCAACCAGAACATCACCTTTAAGGTCAGGACGCAGCCATGGTGGTCAATTTGCTTCATGCTTTATTTGGAAATGCAGGTTAGATGAACCGTTTCTTCCCTCGAAAGGAAATGCTGTGGTTTCTCCGCAGGTTCCTTCAGGGACGCGGCCGAGTCGCCCACCCAACAGCAGTCCCGCGTTCATCGGCACCCCCACCCACGACCGCCTGCTGGCCGAGATGATGCAGTCCCACCTCGTCAAAGACATTTGTCTGATCGGAGCCAAGGTACACAGGCAACTTCCTGTGGCCACCCTCATTGAGCAAATGCACTTTGAACTAGAAAGTTGATGTGTTTCAAACAAGAACAATAGCTCACTTTTCATACTGCCTGTTAAGGTAATGCAGGAAGATCATCGGGGTCTTCTGTGTGTGCGTCATGGCTTGCGTTCTTATTTAAGTGAGATTAGATCAGATGAACAAGGTGCATCATATGCTTGTTTGGTAATATTGCCTTGTGGTTTGGCTAATGCTGTTTCTTGTTGTTTTTCCAGGGTTGTGGCAAATCCGTGATTGCAAGGGAATTTGCTGACATGCTGGGCTACAGCACTGAACCAATTATGCTTTATCAGGTAATGTCAAAACATAAGAAAATAATAAAAACTAATCAGTCCCAAGAAGACAAATTGGTAACATTTTAAAGGAAGGATCAAAACAAGTTATGCTGTATGCCACAGATGCTTTCGATTTCAACAGAAAATGGTTGTCTCTCAGCTATTGTCAATTTGGTATTTGTTTACATTTTTTTTACAACTCAAATCATTCAGATTCAAACAAATTCACCACCAAAATGTAAAATAATTGTTTTCTTCAAAAATGGCACTTTTTATTCTAGATTTATCTCAAAATTGTATGTTTTCATATGACTGAAATCATACGAATTTATACGAATTCACTCTTTTCTTCTAAAAATTTAGAAGAAAAAAAAGTTATCCAAATTCATACGATTTCACCACCAAAATGTAAAATAATTGTTTCCTTCTAAAATTGCACAAATTTATACAAATTCACCAACCAGTTCCCAAAAATGTAAATTTGTCTTTTACTTACTTTTTGTCCTAAAAAGCAGATGTTTCATTTGACTCAAATCATCCAAATTCATACGAATTTAAGACCATTATTGGCAAAATGTGAAATACTTTTTTTTTTTCATCTAAAAATATCTTTTTTTTTCTAAAGATCCTATGTTTTTGTGTGACTCTCTATATGAACTCATACACATTGACCACTAAAAATTCACCACACATTTCTTCTAAAAAGTATCTTTTTATTTTATTTTTTTCTTAAAAATCATGTTTTCATATGACTTAAACCATACAATTAATTCATACAATTTCACAATCAATTTGCCAAAGTTGTTTAGCTTATAGTTACATTTTCAAGTTATGTTTTCTTATAAGATTGTGTTAGAAACCAACTGTGCAATTTTTTTTTATTTTATTTTTTTTATTTTTGCTTTTTTGTTTGCATTTAAATTGCAAGACGCAGGCCAGTGGTATCAAAAATGGTCTAGAGATGCATTTTCAAAGTCGTCCATCTAGCACATGTCTACATAGAGAAATAAACTGCATTGCAGCTTTTCAATTTTACCTTTAACCCGGAATATTCTTTTGTAAAATGCAAAATGTTCCTAGTTGTGTCTTCCTTGAACCCCTTTCTTTTGCTCTTTTCTGTTTGGTTCTCTGAATGTACCTTCACATCACATGAGCATGGTTTTGTGTTTGCTCAGTTGTGTGCAGCTGTGGACAGTGAGGTTTTCAGATGAGTGTTTGGGTTTTTGGGGGAAAGCTCAGTGTTGTCCTGGGCATCAGCACACAGAGCCAGAGGTCATGCACCACAGGGGCCACAGATCTCCCTGAGTTTCCATCAGCAATCATTAGTGTTTTTAATATTTGTGATTCTTGTAAGACCACACAAAATATTTTTGAGCTTCAGTCCTTAAATAGCCATGTGTTCTTGGGTCGTTTCTATTCTGGGATCAGAGTGATGCACTGTCCTTGATCTCCCCCAGTTATCATTAACCGCATTGGCCCCATTCTGCTGTCAGAACACGAAATCTAGTGAGCTGACTACGTAGACAGCCTTTTAAGGCATCATAGTTGTGCTCCCAATGTAAATTCGGTTTAAAAAGGCAGATGTCTTTACACACAGCATTGGCACTAAAATAATACAATAAACATTAACTAAATATAAAATGTCAGACAAAACACCCTAATGTACATTACTGATATCAAAAATAAGAATAAATAAAACTATTTAAGTAATCATATGTGACGCGAGACTTCTGTAAACTTCCTTGTACTTTTTTTTTAGCAATGATTATACAGTAAGTAATCACAAATTTGACCATTTTAATTTTACAGTTAAACATATAAACACTTTTACAGTGTTGTGGTGAGCTTAGTGAACATTTGTTACTTGAAGCCTGTGTATAATGCATTATAAAATTATTCCTAATGCATTAATTATATCTTTTAATGCACCATAAAATGCATTATGGTATTTGTAACCACAGTTATAATACATTGTAATACTTCAGTTTTACACCTTTAGAAAGTACAGTGCATTAAAACACACAACGAACAACCAATTTTATGTGTAGCAAGGAATCTGCGAGTATTTTAATTTTTGAACTTTGTTTACAATTATTTATGATGCATTATGAATGCCTTTATAATGCATTATACAAAGTATTAGCAAGAAAGTCCTCGAAAATGAGTGACTCTTGTACTTTGGATTTTATTTATTCAATTCTGTGAAGCTCAAATGAAAAAATATATATATATATTCTACCCAATTATTTGACTATTTTACCCAGTTTTGTGTGTTTTATTTCATGCATAGTATCACATTATTAGCTTAGCAGCATGTTTCTTCCTATGTATAGTGTTACAAATCAGTAACTTGCTAGTAAGGTAGCTCACAAAATTTTGAGATGGTTAATTAAGGAATTCATTTTATTTTTTATTTTATTATTATTATTATTTTTTTTTCCAATAACAAATAACAGTTAAAGCAGTAGTTCACCCAGAAATTACAATTTGCTGACAATTTACTCACCCTCAGGCCATCCAAGATGTAGATGAGTTTGTTTCTTCATCAGAACAGATTTAGCATTACATCACTTGCTCATCAATGAATCCTCTGCAGTGAATGGGTGCCGTCAGAATGAGAGTCCAAACAGCTGATAAAAACATCACAGTAATCCACAAGTACCCCACATGACTTCAGTCCATCAATTAATGTCTTGTGAAGTCATAATAACGCTTCCTCCAGTGAAAAAGTCCATCCCCTGTTGTCCTCTCTCATCAAAATCCACTGTTTTTGTCTTGTAAACAAATCTGTGCATATTTCTCTCCTGATTCAGACGAGACAACTTTTGCACTGGATAAAGCAATATTATAAGCTATAGAGGACTTACATTTTAGCTGGTAGCAACAGTTTGATGTTAAAAACGTCTTAATGAAGGATTTGTCACAAACACTCAGCTTTTTGCTTCACTGAATTACTTGTGGATTACTTGTAATGTTTTTATCAGCTGTTTGGACTCTCATTCTGACGGCACCCATTCACTGCAGAGGATCCATTGGTGAGCAAGTGATGCAATTCTGCATTTCTCCAAATCGGTTCTGATGGAGAAACAAACTCATCTTGGATGACTTGAGGGTGAGCACATTTTCAGCAAGTTTTCAAACTTTGTGAAAAATGTTGACTGAGACTTCAGACAAAATGTAGTGAGGAGCTGATGTGAAGAGCTCTTGCTGCGTGACCAGCGGCCGGGTGCTTTTCACACCAGCTGAGCGACCCGTCAGCATCTGGGTCTGATCGCAGCATGCTCGTGTTTTGATGCACCTCATACAAACATTTGCGCCGCAGGTAGTAAAACACTGTGTGTGTGCGCGCTTAATACTGGAATGTCGGGAATTCCTTTGGCTCAGTGAGAATAGAGCAGGAAAAGGAAGCTGTCCGTGCATCATGCTTAAGTTATTTTTGCCCGGTGAGAGCAAGAGGTCATAGTGTATGGGGAAAAGAGGAATTTTGTAGCGCACTTCATCTTGTTAGCCCTCTGAAGCCCTTTTATGAACTCGTATGGGCCTCTGCTCGTCCCTGATGACATACAGTGCTTTCAGTTGTGGAAACAAATACCACGTCACAAGCCAGAAAAAGAGTCTTGGCACTTGCTTTGACAAGCAATAATGTTTTGTGTCTTGTGTTTCCTCTTGTTATGATAGTTTTGTTCTCCCTGTGTAGATTCGCCTTTAGATAACTTTTCAATGTTTTCCTTGCTTTAAAAGTTAATGCGAATTTCTCAAATAATTTGGCAAACAGTCTTAGTGGAAAAGTTCAACTGATCATATGTTCGTATTTTAATGCTTTAAATTTAATTTAGTCTATAATAATAAAAACAAAATATGAACCATGGCACATGGAGCCAATGCACATTATATATGTGAAATTGCGATTGAAAATTGTGTATTATTTGAACATGCTTGAAGCTAGTGATATGTGATGATCAATGCAGGTATGATTTTTTTTTAATGTTTTTTAAAGATGTTTCACTAAGGCTGCACTTATTTGATCAAAAATACAGTAAAACAGTAATATATTTTGAAATATTATTACAATTAAAAATAACCATTTTATATTTGAATATTTTTTTTAAATGTAGTTTATTCCTGTGATCAAAGCTGAATTTTCAGCAGCCAGTCTTCAGTGTCACATGATGCTTCAGAAATCATTTACTGATATAGAAACTTTTCTTATTATTATCAAAGTTGAAAACAGTTGTGCTGCTGAATATTTTTGTGGAAGCATGACCATTTTTTTCCCATAAGGGAATGAACAGAAAGAACTGCATTTATTTAATATATTTTAAATGGAATCTTTTGTAACTTTATAAATGTTTTGATTTTTAACCTTTGATCAATGTAACACCTCCTAGCTGAATACTGATAAATACTGATAAGATACTGATAAATTATCAGTATCTTAAAAAACAGGGTAAATGTTATGTAATTAGTGTATATATGGTATGTTAAGGATTGTGGTCCAATGATCTGACAAAAAACAAACAAACAAAAACAGAACAGTTATAAAATGAAGAAAAAACTAGAACACACCAGAAAATGTACAAAACCACATACAAAAATTTAATTAATTGAACATTTTCATTTCTCACCATATTTATTAAAAATTTGCCAATATATTGATCGATCACTACTTGAGATGATGGCACAGTTCTTTGCTTAAATCTTGAGTCATGGTGGATATATTGTATTATTGCACAAAGTCAGTCACAGCCATACATTTCCATATCAATGTAAAGCCTGTGAGTGTTCATAGAGTATGAATGATTGACCTCAGATGCACTTGTAAACCCTGTATACACACACTTCTGTCCTTCTTTCACCCCTGCCTCTCTGTCAGCGCACTACAGGATACACTAAATTACACTCTCTCTGTGTGTGTGTGTTTGTGTGTGTGTGTGTGTGTTAGGATATGACTGCGCGGGACCTCCTCCAGCAGAGGTACACCCTGCCTAATGGAGACACGGCCTGGAGGGCCTCCCCGCTGGTCACTGCTGCTCAGGAGGGCAAGCTGGTGCTGCTGGACGGCATCCACCGTGTCAACCTGGGCACTCTGGCTGTGCTTTCCAGGTCAGTCTCGGTCCATGCTACACTTACTGTGCTTAGCCTCAGTCTAGAGGCTTACACTGTAACACTCCTAACCCAGTGTGATGCGATCTTTTTTATCATCTGTCGTCCAGAATGGTCTGAATTCACATTTACATTTATTCATTTAGCAAACGCTTTTATCCAAAGCGACTTACAGATGAGGAATACAACAGGCAAATAAACACAGGAAGTGCTCGTAATACAAAGTTTCAGAAATTGAAAAATTGACATTAGTTCAAGCTAGACAAGTAGGGATTAAGTAACATGATCTTTACTTAATATCCTAATGATTTTTGGCATAAAAGAAAAATCAGTAATTTTGACCCATACAATGTATTTTTGGCTATTGCTACAAATATACCCCAGTGACTTAAGACTGGTTTTGTGCTCCAGGGTCACATATTAAGATGCAATCAAATGTTGACGAAAGAGATGAGTTTTCAGCTGTCGCTTGAAAATTGTCAGGGATTCAGCATATCTATAGTAGTACTAATAATAGTAATAATAATAGGAGTATAATCATTTTTATTCTATTTATAATTAATTATGATAATTTGAATGTTCATTATATGAATAAATTAATACTACTAATTCTTCTACTTATACAACTACTAAAAATAATTCAATTATCATAATATCAATAAATTAACATTATTACTACAACAACAACAACTAATTTTTACTTGTTTAATTACGTAGTAGAAGTAGTAGTTAGTAGTAATAGTTATTTATCATAAGGAACATTTAAATTACTACTACTACTGCTACACTACTAATAAATTGTTATTATAAAGATTTGAATTGTTGTCGTTGTTGTTGTTATTATTATTATTATTATTATTATTATTATTATCACTATTATTATTCATTTATTGTCATTATTATCAGTAGCAGTAGTTTTATTTATTTATTTAGTATTATTATGAACATTTAAATTACTACTGCTAATAATAATACTATTAGTAATAATAATTATTAACAATAATAAGAATTTATTGATATTCTGAACATTTAATTGAACATTACTAGTACTACTAATACTACTAATAATAATTGAATAATAATTCAAATGGTCATAACAATACATTATTATTATTATTATCATTATTATTATGAAAATGTTATTTGTTATTATTAGTAGTAGCAGTAGTAGTAATTCATTGATATGAACATTTGAATTATTGTTATTACTACTACTACTGATAATAATAATAATAATAATAACATATATAAACATTTGAATTATTATTATTATTATTATTAGTAGTAGTAGTAGTAGTAGTTTTAAATGTTTATAATATCAATATTGTTCACAAATGTTCATAATATCAATATTATTATTATTGTTGTTATTAATAATTTTATAAAAAGTGGACAAATTAGTTGAGACTGGAAATATTTGACCCTCTAACTCTAGCACTCTCTATTCTAATTATATTCTTTATATAAAAAAAAAACATTTTGCCACTTTTAGACTTGCACTCTATTTACTAACTGCTTGTTTTCTTTAAAAAAAAAAAAAAAACTAACACTAACACTAGCTTCTCTAATCTTTTTGTATTCTATCTATTTTTTTTCTTTTTATTTATTATACAATTAACAAAAGCAAAAAAGGCCTCTAACTAGCTTGCTCTATTCTTTTTCTATTCTATTGGTTTTCTTTTTATTTATTATATAATAAAAAAAAAAAACCTTGCTACGTGTTCTGCATTAAGCTAACTGAGACTTATAGCACTTGTATATCATTGCTCTTTTGTTGATTTTGATTGCTTCCTTTGGATAAAAGCATCTGCTAAATGACTACATGTAAATGGAAACTAGGACACTGTGTTTTATGTACCTCCCTTCATAAATGTCTATTAACAATTTTTGGCACAATATTTTTCTATCCTTTTATTTTTGGTCTTTTGGCAGTTTTTTTTTTTTCTTTCTTTCCTGAGAACACACACTTGGTGTGAAAAACCCAGCACTGCTATTTCTGTGCTTTTCACTTGATTTGTTTGGAGATTAATCTGGCCTGTCTACCGTCTCAGGTTGCTGCATGACCGCGAGCTGGCTCTGTATGACGGGACTCGACTACTGTTGAGTTTTGCACTTTGGAGCAGATTGCTGGTCATTTGTTTGGTGATTAATCTGGCCTGCCTACTGTCTCAGGTTGCTGCATGACCGAGAGCTAGCTCTGTATGACAGGACTACTGAGGTGGGACCGTTACCAGACTCTAAAAGACGAGCTACAGCTCACAGACCAGGAGCTGCAAGACAGGTAATATTGTAATCAAACAATTGCATGAATCTGCTCAACTCACGCTTACCCTAGCTTACTGTTGCTAAATGCACAGATGTTTAAATGATATTCTGTTGTCTTCCGGTCATTTTCAAGTTTTTTGTTTGTTTTTTTATCATGGAACCAGACATTGTGACATTATGAAGAATGTATAAACACAGAATAAACACAGTAAAAGCAAATGTAAAGTTGTTTATCAAAGGGTTAGTTCACCCAAAAAAATGCAAATTCTTTCTCTATTTACTTCAAATGCAAAGTCTTTCATTCATCATAAATGAAGTTTTTTTTTTTTTTAATATTAGCTCATTATTTTTGGTCCATACATTGAAAGTCCAAGCAACCAAAACTTTCAAGCTTAAGAAAGTTCATAAAGACATCCATATGTCTATTAAAAATCCATATGAATCAAGCAGTTTTATTGAAGTCCTCTGAAGAGACACAATTGCTTTATATGATGATACTCGGTTTTGCTATAATTAAAATGCATTAATATAATTTATTTAATATATTTGGATTGTTCCTGTATCTCCATTTAAGTTGGATAAGCACATAATGGCCTTAGGACCGGTCTGAGGCTCTCGTTAAGTTATAAACGTTTTTATGTCCAGCTGAGGTAATGCTTTTAAGAAGCGTGCCATTGAAATGAAGTACTTACGTGAGGCCGGTGTTCTGCTTAGTGTTTTAGAAATCCCAGCACCTATCATTTCTCATGAGAGCTCCATCCAACCTTTGGTCTCAGTGCCAGCAGCAGTTGCAGAGTAACTGTTGCTGTGGCTCGGCAGTGCGCCGCGATCATGGAACAGAACAGGAATCTCACGTTAATCAACACCTGTATGTGTTCGTGGGGGAGATGTGAGAATTCAGCACATTCATAGCAGCCCTTCTTTATGAACTGGCTCTCAGCAGTCGGATGATTATGACACATCCAGTGTATCTCAGATGACTTTATTAAACGGATATAGTTCACTCAAACATTTCAATTCAAATGACATGCATAAAGGAAGGCAGATGCTATTTGCATTAGGTAAAAATAGCATGAATAAGTATTTTCTATGTAATAATTAGTAGTTAGATGCTATTCATACCTATTGCTAATAGTTGCAGATACAATCTGTATATTGTAGTACATTATGAAACGATAAGCAGTAATACCATATTCAGTGTAAATATTATATTTATTAAAATCATAAATGGATAGGACCACCCTTGTCCCTGTTTCTAAAGCCCATCCCTACACCTACCCCTAACCATTACCATACTGAACCTGCTGACCAACATGAGGACACCACATCAAATTTAATTTGTAGACCTATGATATACCTGTTAACCACATTATTGCCTCTATTAAATCCCCATTAGGCACTTTGTTTCCACTTTCTTCATTTTTGGAATTTGAGAAAGGCAGATTCAAACTCGGATATATATTTAATATATATAGTGATAGATCGATAGATAGATAGAAACGTCATGGTAACACAACACTCAAGTAATACAATACACATTAATTTAGACATAAGTTAACATAAGATGTAACATAAAATATAATATACAATATTCTCTCTCTCTCTCTATATATATATATATACATACATACATACATACACACACAACTGTAATATACATAGTAGTAGTAATAATGGTAGTAATAGTAATGCAATAAACATTCGTTTAACAACGTAAGATGTAACATAAAGTAGAGTAGTAGTAGTATACAACTGTATACTGTATACAACATAAATGAAAACTAAGAAACAATTATTTCAATGAAGAAAAAATCAAATATGAGGTACCACCGAGAATTCAGTTTCAAAAACTGTACATTTAATAGTACTTTACTGTAAAATGACATAATATGTCCTTTTATATCTATTGCAGTTATTCGCCGTACATATTAATGGTACTTACTGTTAACCAATTAACAGGATTTTACCATAGCATTTTTAAAATTACAATTATTTCTTTTTACAGCATTACAAAAGCAATGGGACATGAAATTGAATTAATGTATTTGGGATCATTTGTGGTAAATAGGGTCAACCCCCCAAAACTGAAAAGTCATGTTTTTGCAAAATCTAAAAAAAACTTAATCCTTAATAGACCACATTATTAGATCATGTTGGACATTTATTTTAATATACTCAAGTTTTTATATAAGCAAGCTTTTAGTAAGACAGGTCCATGTGATATTATGTGCTTTGAGATCACTCAATAAGTCCATTTGTCACGTCCGGTTCTCCGTCTCATTTGACCTGAAGCGACGCAGTCATAAACGCTCAATGAATACTGAATGTTCTGATGCCTCACACAAAGCCATATAGGAGGTGTTGATTAACCTACTGTGACGTCATCTCTGTAGAGAGACTCTGTCTCAGGACAACAAGCCTTGTGACAGCGAGTCCAGACCGAGCGTCCGTGTCTGCGAGAAACACTGGGTTACGATGAGATGCATTTCAGCCCATGACAATGGCTGCTTTCATCTCCAGACCGCAATAACAGGAAACTGCCCACCAGACGGTCCAGCTCAATTTAATCCCAGGGCTTATTTTATAGGTTTTGTCAGTTAGCACCATCACACTCACTGTATTTTATGCCACAACATTTTGTTGCTATGGTGCATCATCATTTTTTTTAAATGGAGAGTTAATAAGCTAAAGTTTATAATAGTTCAAGTCTTGTTTTGTAATATAATAACACTGAGTATGACTGCTGAATTTGTTTACAGCGTTCAGTATTGTTTTAGCATTCTTGTGACTTTTTCAGATCTGGTTCCAGAGGCGTCATGCCCATTCAAAGTACGTTTGGCACGTGCCCCCTCAGATTTCTGAGCAAAGTGGATTTTAAATGCAGCTTCCAAAAGACAAAAAAATAGCCGAATAATATTTTTTATATTTGATACAATCACACCGGTGTGATTAGAACGTTCAGTGCGTCATATCATCAGCTGCTAAATTCAAATCTGCGTTCGTTGGCTGGTGCTGAGCCAGGTACAGACGCGTTAATACAGCACTGCGCATTAACCAATCACACACGATTCTGTTGAGCTTATGAATGCAATGGCCAATCAGAGACGTTCAGATGAGTCATCGTTGAAACGTGGTGTTTTGTTCACTTGCTCGCTGACTGAATTATAAGCAACAGTGCAGATGTGCGTACGAATGCAAGTAAGATATTAATTTCACAGTGTAAACAGCTTCAGTGATTTAAATGGGAGTTTTTGAGAGTGCCTGAACTCTGGCTAGACTGAAGTGAAAATGTTCTTTGATAATGTAAATGTTCTTTGCTCTCTGTAAAATGAAAATGTTAGTAACTTACAATATTGTTATTAAATTCACATTAAATACAAAGTCAGTCATATTAAAAATATTTTATGGCATGACACCCTTATCTGGTACTTAAAGTCGGGTTTTTATGTGTAGTTAATAGATTACACTATTACTCTACTTTGCCCATCACCCATTATAGATCAAATAACAATCTGGTGCAAAACGCATTTACTTACGCGTTTGAGAATCGAGATATTTCCTGATATAGTTAACACGTTTGGAAATATTTTGAATAAAAAGGAAAAAAAATTAATAAAACATAAGCCTATATCAGTTATAGTGCTATTGTGGCTGCTGTGTCACATGACAAGCATGATGAGCCCCCTCCCACACACACTCGTGCCCCCTCAAAAATCATGAGTGCATGACGCCACTGTCTGGTTCCATTTTTATTTTTGACATTTAGAAACCGAGTGAACTCCATGATGTTGGACTCAAAAATGAACATTCTGTCATCATTTACTTACTTCATGTCGTCCCATTCCTGTTTGACTTACTTCCATGCAACGCAAATTTTTTATTTTTAAAAATGCACTGGCTGTTTTTTCCCATTAAATAGTTTAGAGTGTTTGTGAACTGCATCAACCGATTCATTAAATTCATCAAATGAACAGTACATTCATGAATGTATTTGGTTCACGTTAATTTCTGTGAGTGTAGGCCACTTATATCCTGAATTTAAAAACACAACACATGCCAAGCATATTATGCCAAATTTGTACTGAAAATTGTTTATAAAGTTTAATCTGTTGTCAATGAAAGAGAAGCTTTAAAGTCTCGTTGTGGTTTTCCTCAAAAATTAAAAGCCTTGGTTTAAAGGTGCTGTATGTAGGATTGACAACTAGTGGTTGAACTAGGTATTGCAGTCTAAATTCTAAATATTTTGGGGGTTTTTTCACCCATTCGGCCCCTCCTCCTCAGACTTGACGCACACGCAGGTTGCCAGATTGACGACACCAACAGGAACGAGCGCACATGACGATGAATGAAATTAAATACACAGTGTTTTCCGCCAACTGGCAACCCGGGGTGCCGAAATACAATTGGGTAAACTGGCAGTGGGCGGGTTACACAGACCAAAACAAAGACAGACATTCCGTCCCGGAACGCACATTTTCACAATGCTTTCACTGTAGCATTGTTTTTCAGATAAACAAGTATGTTAACTTAGCATGTTTCTTAAATATCTGCAAACATATTATGATATTTTTATGCTTATTTAATTATTATTTTTATATTATATTATATTATTTTTATTTTTATTTCATTTAGTTTAAATCGATGTACTAAAATACCTAAATCTGAAATAAGAATTAATAAAAAATAGACAAACTAATCTAAATGACAAACACGCACAACAAAATTATGAAAAATGTAACAAAAATTAAAATGAAAATAAAAAAATACAACAATAAAAACTAATTTAAAATATTGAAAGAACTACAATTGTATCTTATGCTAAAATAACACCAATCTGAAATGGTCTCTTAGACCTAATTTCCATATTTTGTAATTTTCTCTAGTATATTATGTGACGTAAAATTATTGTAATCTTAGCCACATCTTATCAGCACCTGATCAGTGAAATGACAAATCTGTGAGTGTCACGGTGAAGAAATCAGTGCTGTTGGATGTATTTTTGTGTCCTGCTGGTGGAGCCCCACCTAGATGGGTAGGAAGGATGTTTGTGGTGGCGCGTCTGAGGTTGAAATAAAGTCACTTCCTCTTCCTGTGTTTCCAGCCGACGTCTCAGACTTCACTTGTGGTCTCTTCATGTGGTTCCAACACTGCTCTTAATTAGCGAGCCTGTGTTCCTGCCAGCCTCAGACTCACATACACACTTCTTACTGTACAGGCATATTAATGACGCCTCTAAAAGTCACACTTTGCTCGGCTGCGTGGGGCAGGACTGCTGTCTCTGACCTTCTGAGGTCAACGCTGTGCTAGGGAGCAGAATATAGGTGCTCTCACAGAGTCAACTATTATTAGCATCTTGGTCTGTCTCTCTGTTTGTCTCTCAGTCTTTCTCAGCCTTATTGCATGCAATAAGGGATAATGTGTTGATTACTTGAACAGTTTAGCATCACAAAACATGATCTCTCATGTGTGCAAATTGTTGAAAACAATGCTTCACAACCAGGATTTTACATTTTATGAAAGTAATGTCATTAAAATCCAATATTTATTTTGTTTTTTATTTTTTTATTTATGCTTTTTTTTGGCTATATATACAACTGTATAGATTTTCATTTTTGAAGAAGAAATTAATCCTTTATTATGCATGCACAGATGCATTAAATTGATCAAAAGTGGCAGTAAAGACAAAAAAAATGATCACAAATGACACGAATATTAAGCAGTGCAATTGTTTTCAACATTGATGGTAATAATAATGTTGTCATGCGGTCGTGGTTGTAGTAAGAGAGCGCATGAGGAAGGAGTAAACGTAGGGATACTTTAATGAACATCAACACACAATAACCGTTGAAAATAACATTAATCCAGGACAAAGGAATGACAGAAACTGAGGGCTTATAAAGGGCAGGCAACTAAGGAGCAAACGAGATGATTAATACAACACAGGTGGGAACTAATGAAAGATGATTACCTAAATGAGCAGGAAATGAACCAAATAGGGGCAAACAGGAACTAGACAGAAACGTACATGTGACAAATGTTTCTTGAGCAGCAAATCAGCATATTAACATGATTTCTGAAGGATCATGCGGCACTGAAGACTGGAGTAATAATGCTGAAAATTCAGCTTTGCGTCACAACAATAAATTACATTTTAACATATTAAAATAGAAAACGGTTATAGTCTGCACAAAAATCTTGCTCTTCACCAAGTTCTGAAATCTAATTTACATTACACAATGCAAACGTAGTGCATCAAAATTCAAACCAATGGTGACTAGAAATATTGATGTCAAACTTGAAAAATGGGTCTTGATACACCATATTTGCATCACAAATTATGTTTTATTGTTTTATGGTGACTAACCAATTGAAAGTCTGTTATTTCCTCACAGAAAGTTGTTATATGGCTTCTGTAGTTTTGTTGTTGTTTGTTTGTTTGTTTGTTTTTGTTTTGCTTTTATTTTTGTTGTTGTGTTTTTTTTTATTTTTGTGCTTTTTGTTTTGTTTTTGTATGGTTGTGTTTTTTGTGTTGTGTTTTGTTTTTAGTTTTTTGTTTTGTTTTATTTTTGTTTTTTTGTTGTCATGTTGTGTTTTTCATATTTTTAGGGGGTTTTTTTCTTTTTGTTTTGTGTTTTTGTTTAGTTTTTTTCATTTTGTTTTGTATTGTTTTTGTTTGTTTTTTGCTTTTTGTTTGACATTACAGCCCCTGGTCACTGTATTTCACTTTTACCTTGTTTGCATAAATTGTCTGTCGTATAGTTTTCTTATAGATTAGTTATAGCATTGTGGGTAAAGATGATAGCAGTGCACCTGTGTATGATTACTGCTAACAAGTGCTACATTCAGTAATGATGTAAATGTTAGAAACGGGAGCTGGTGTCTTTGAAACCAGGGACATGGACTTGGAAGATAGGAAGGTGTTGCTAGGCAACAAGAGGTGCAGTTGATCTGATGAAGATCTAAAATTGTGTGATAATGAAGAATCGCGATCGCTCTCTCTGTGTCAGTAGGTGTATTTATGCATTTCATGCAGGGGGCTTCACTGTTTATAAATAGACGGAGCTGTCCAGTGGGATTAGGTGGCGATGCAGCTCGAGCGCAAACTATTGTCAGCGATACAATATCAATGTGCCAGAGATCAGCGAGGGCACGGATCTTGACATGAGCATATCCTATTCACTTTGACGGATGAATGGACTGACTTCACCTCCTCTTGTTCTCATGTAGTCATCAGTGATCAGGTGCCTTTGGTTATGCCAGCCCCCTGAAACATATTATAATCATAACATAACAATCATAACAAAGAATGACAGTTGCTGTGACTCTGTCTGTTTTCAGGTCACCTGCTCCATTGTCTTGATCGTCTGTGTGATAACTTCACATCAGCTATGTTCAGAATGCAATACCAACTTATTTCTTACACTGCCTAATTATTTGTATTTAAAAAGAAGATAAAAAGTAGTCATAAAGAAACCTGATTTGAATATAAACTTCAGTCACTTGTGTCTAATGTTCGGATCCCTCAGAAAGACACACTACCATTCAGAAGTTTGGATTTAGTAAAAAGTTGTTAATGTTTTTGAAAAACATGTGTCTTATGCTCACCAAGACTGCATTTATTTGACCAAAAATACTATAAAAATGCCCAGTAATATTAGGGCTGAATGATAGGCCTGAATCTAAATAAAACTGAAATTTATCGAATTACAAAGGCTGCGCTTTAATAAATTAAATATATATATATATATATATATGCCCTGCATGTTTCAGTATGAAGTGGCACTACTACATTACTTAATTCTTAAATACTATTTTTTTTATTTTACTGTGAAATATTACAAGAGTAATATATCTCATTTTGTTTTTTAGTAATGCTTCTATTTTTATTTAGTGATAATAATAACAATAATAATAGTAATTAAAATAATTCAATAATAATAATAATAATAATATTTATTATTATAATTTATATACATTAATATATAATTTATATTCATTAATATATAATCAAACAATTTTGGCCAAATTTTGCAGCTTTACAAACAAGCACAGCAAACTTGGAATCACAATTGTTTTGAGAAAAATCGCAATTAGATTTTCCCCCCAAATCAAGCATCTCTAGGTAAATATTGTGAAATGTTTTTAAATAATTACAAAAAAAAATTTGTTTATATTTTAATGTATTTTAGATTTTATTTAATACATGTATGCACAGCTGAATTTTCTGCATCCATTACTTCAGTCTTCAGTTTCACCTTCAGAGAAACTCAAGAAGCATTTCTTATTGTTAAAAACTACTGAAAACAGCTGCTTAATGTTTTTGTGGAAACCATGATAAATGTCTTTAATGTCACTTTTGGTTGATTTATTGCATCATTGCTGAATAAAGTTTGAATTTATTTAAAGAAAAAAACTTTTGACTGGTAGTATACAGGTATATATAGAAATGGTTTGCAGCCACGATAGTAACATCTGTCTAAGCATTGAAATTTTTTGTTGTTGTTTTGAATTATTACTCCATTATGGATCAGGAATTGGGAAGGAGAAAATAGTTCTCCTTAAAGTAACCAGTGCTGATCTTCTCCTCAGATCCATCTTCCCAGTCCACCCGTCATTCCGGATCATCGCTCTAGCGGAGCCGCCTCAGGTCGGGAGCACCACGCAGCAGTGGCTCGGCCCGGAGATCCTCACCATGTTCCTCTTTCACACCGTCAAACCACTGGCCAAGGCTGAGGAAACAGCTGTTATCCAGGGCATGGTCAGTCACATCACCTTCAGACTGAGCTATTATGTCAAATTCAGTAATGTGTTTGATTAAATCTGCTTACACCCAACATGTTTACGAACTGCATTTTATGTTGAATCAAAATATCATATAGCTTTGACGCTTGCTTTTTGGATTTGAGTCTTGTATACATTATTTTCATAACAGATCCCAAATGTTCCCAAAGAGGCAGTGGAGCAGCTGCAACACCTGACTCACAGTCTGAGAAAATCCAATGATCCTACGGTGAGCTTTCTGATGTTAGATCCCCAAAACCTTTGAAGAACAGATCGATGCCTTCACAGCAAGGAGAGACTGTGGTCCATTCCCTGACTCCAGTGGTCCAAGAACCCTTGTTAAGTGTTCCTGTTTATACAACACAACATAAGGTGTCTTGTTTAGAAAGTGCTTACTCTGCTGCTTACTGGTGTAAGTTAGTTCTGTCCCAGAAACCTTAAATAATAAAAAAAATTCTTAAAGGGATAGTCCACCCAAAAGTGAAAATTCTCTCATCATTTACTCACCCTCAATGCCATCCCGGATGAATATGACTTGAGTACTTAAGATGAACACAAACTGAGATTCTTATAAAAATCATTCGTTTTCATGAATCCATATTATGCAAATGTACATGATCTCCAAAGGTGATGCTTTAAAAACCACACAAAGTAAACACAATGGTATTTGACACAACCTCAGTGGATGAATTAATGTCTTCTGAAGTGAAATGATTGTGCATCATGCTTTACAACGTGTTGACTTAAACACTTTTCCTTATAAACATCTGTTGTTTTCCTTTAAAAGTCATTTTTGTTTTTTTGTTTTGTTTTGCTTTGCTTTTTGTTTTGTGTGTTGTGTTTTTGGTTTGGTTTGGTTTTGAGATGAAAAGTAAATGTTGTTTGGTGTTTTTGTGCTGTGTTCAGGCCCTGTCTCTTGCTTCTTCATTGTCCACCAGGCAGCTGCTGAGAATCTGTCGGCGTCTTTCTCAGTATCCACAGGAGAGTGTTGCTCACGCTGTGAACAAAGCCTGTCTGTCCAGGTAGACAAACTCAAACACATTCATTCAAGCCTCAAAGTCACCACTCAGCAACTAAATAACATTCAAAATAAAACAAACTCTGCACAAGTTTGTGCTGTTTGGTTGTTACGGAGCAACTAAGATCAAATCTTGTTTGAAAACAGGTATTTATTTTTGATTGATGCTGCTGGTGACACTATACCTTACTATAATAAACCATGTTTATATCCTTTTTTTGCTTGTGAAATTCAGAAGAGACTGGGAAATGTGTGAATACAGAATGAATAATTTTTCTTGGATTTGTAGGTTTCTGCCCAGCCTGGCTCGCTCGGCTCTTCAGAAGAGTCTGGTGAACTGCTCAATAGAGGATCAGCCTGACCCAGCATCAGAACAGAGCCATCTCTACACCTGTGAGTTACAGTACAACACCAGACCAGAGTTCAGACCAATGCTAAGCTAAACTCACAACTCACATTACAGTTCATGAGAGTTTTAATTGAATTCAACAACAGGATGTTGAATTATAATACTGAGTAATTCAACACGGTCACACAACGGGAATTTCAGTAGTCCAAGTTTTGTAAATGCCAGAAAACTAATTTCTTTGAATTTGATTCATTCCTTTTATTTCTTCTTCTTCCTTAAATTCAATTTCCATTCTGCATCCTGCTGAATTTGGAAAGTTATTCTTAGTTCAGTTCTAAATTGCACACATCCCCAACTTCAGTGGTTCCTCAGTAATTTTAGCCTGCACTGATATTTTTGTCCCATTTTCCCTGCTGTCTGTAAGAGACTTTAGATTTCAGACGTACAGTACTATGTGGTGTCTGAAAAGTGTAGATGGGAGGAAATAGACTGTTTTTGTCAAGAAAACATGTTGTGTCTCCAGGAGCTGGTCAGTGACATGGCTGAATAAGTCATCTTTGTTTGATAAAATCTCTTTTTTGAGAATCTCTCACTTTTTCTTTTTCATTTCTACTCTCACCTGTTAGGCACAGTAAAAGATGGACTTCTGACCATAGGGAACGTCTCGGCTCCTGTGTACAGCCCTGATGAGAAGATGAAGGTCCCGGATGTGCTCTTTTATGAGAACGTTCAGGTGAGCTCCTTATCTGCCCATTACCAGACGGGAACATTGTCCTCTTCTCTGCACAGTATGGGGCCACAAAGCACAATAACTTCAGCCTCATGAGCTGCACTGCTAATTTAAAGGAATATAATTCTGTCATCATTTACTCCTTCATAAATTTAAAAACCTCTTATTACTTTTTTTGTTGATAAAGGTTTCATTTTATTTATTTATGTGTGTGTGTGTGTGTGTGTGTGTGAGAGAGAATTATCCCTTTAATGCAGCACAGCAAGAAAGGTGTGTATATATATATATATATATATATATATATATAATATAGTGATTTAATATCATATTAATGGTATACTTGACAGTGTGTTATTTTGCTGAAAATGAAACCCAAAAATGTTTTTATTATAGTAATGGCTATATTTTAATGATCCAGTAAATTAAATAATTTACAGGGGCTTCATTTCATGTGATTATT